CCCCTTGCTCCTCCCCAGTCTTCTCCCTTTACCCACACACGAGGGGAGGGCACTACTGGGAGCAGCAGGGACCCGAGGACATTCCCCTCGTCTTTCTCTTGCTCCCCCAAGGTCTGGGCACACCTTTCATGTGTACGTTTTTACTCCTCCTCTCCTCTTCGTTCAGCTCCTTCAGGGCACAGTAGGTAGGGTTGAAGGTCAGGAGCCTGGCAGATTTGGGTTTGCAGAAGGGCTGGCACAGCTTCAGGAGGGCAGCTCCCAGATTGAGGAAGAAGGCATCCGAGGCATACATCTGGAAGAAGATCTCTGGCATCTGGTTTGCCCAGATCTTGGTGCGTCCTGCGTTGGCATGGAGGCAGTTTCCCAGCCAGGAGAGGATCCTGTGCTTTGTCTCTGGGGACAGCTGCAACAGGTTCTTCAGCATCTGGTAGATCTTCTCATGGAACTGGGCCATAAACTGTTGCAGGAACAGAACGTGTTTGAGGGATTATGAAGGAGCCAGGGGTGGAACTCAAGCCCTGATACCACATCTTTAACTCTGAGGCACCAAGAGGCCACTCAAACACACTGGGAAGCACTGTCGTGCTTCAGCTCACCTGATGGATGTTGGACTCCTGCACTTTGATCTCCTGCGGGCTGGATCGGGATGGGTTCAGGAAGTAGCCATGGTTCTCCACGACACCGGGGGTCTTCAGCAGGCAGGAGATGTTTAAGATGGTGCCTAGCAAAGTCTTCTGGTACATCTGTCCATTGCTGGGATCCTTGGGCTGGATGTAGCCTGCAAAAACCTGGGGGACATGGCAGGGCATGCTGACAGCTGTGTAAAATCCCAGTGAAATGAAAACAAACACAAACTGACAGCTTTGGGCAGGCAAAAGGAAGGGAGGAGAGGGGTAAAAGAGCACACACAGGATGTTGTTACACTGAAGTGCTGTTTGACCTCCCCAGATTATGTCCTACAAACATGCTGCTGAGGGGAGTTCCTGACCAGGCTGAGGCAACCACCTTTGCTATGTCCTTCTGCTTGGTGAAGTAGAGGAGCACGTCGAGGTATGTGTAGAGCAGGATCTGGCAGAGGTCCAGGTCCTTGATTCTGCCCAGCAGGATGTCAAACACGGGAACCATCACCTCCCCGAACGTCCGCACCTCCTCGTCCATTGTCAAGGCCTCTATGACCTCCTCCAGAAACTCGGTCATGTCTTCAAACTCTGGCAGGGAAGCAAGAATCACAGTGTGCTACAGGTGCTGCAGCCTAAACGCTGCCTTCCCTTTTAGGACCAGGGGCAGCCCAGGCTCTGCTCCACTCAGCTGGACTTACGGGCCCCTCTCAGCGCCTCCAGCATCAGGTCCACCAGCTGCTCGTACACGTTCTGGTTGATGTAAATCTCTGGGGTGAGGAGCACAGTGCGAGTATTTGACACGGTCAGGTTCCGGCAGCGCACGGCAAAGGGCAGCAGGTTTTCTGGGACCTTGGTTATCTGCACAAGGAGACAGAGCTGGGACCCTGGCATCTGCTTCTGGCCTCTAAAAGCTCAGCTCAGTCACCTCAGCCCAGAACGCTGAGTGACAAAGCCACCCTCCTCCTCTGAAGCCCCTGCCTACCTCTTCTCTTGCCCTCTGGAAACACGCATAGAGGTAGCGTAGGATCTGCCTCTCCCCGGCGTCCCGGTCGGCAGAGAGGTTCTGTGTGCTGTTGGAGGTCATGTGAATCAGGTGGCTTCCAGGCTCCTGCAGCAGCAAGCGGGCGAACAGGGCCTGGGCAGAGGTAGGTGGGAAGTGAGGACAAGGAGACAACTCTTCCGGGAAACAGCCTCCTGGCACCCGCTTGTTTATGCTCGGAAAAGCTCGCTCCATCCCTCCCTTAGCCCTAACAGAGCGCTAAGCTGAGAGCTCCACCAGAGCCTCCACTCTCCTCAGAGCAGCAGCAGACAGGCTGCATCTGGGATGTGCCACAAGGAAACAAACACAGTTCCTAGTGCCACAGCAGTAGAAGACCAGAAGCCCGGGGCAGGCAGCCCTACCTGCTCCACGTTGTCCATGTCCAGCCAGTCCTGGGCGTCCAGGTCCGCAGCCATTTCTTCCAGGTAGACGCAGCGTGCTGGGATCCCATTCCCACTCTTCATGCTGGGGTCACCTGAGAGAGACACGGAGGGACCCGTTTCACCCAGAGGGACACAGACTGTGCTGGGGGGCAGTAGAACCTGAAGGCAAAGTGATGTTCCCCTCCCAGCTCCCCCCTCTCTGCCCTTCACAGTGTAGCTCCCCGGCTCGGAACCACCCCTCAGGTGCTGGGGAACGGCTCCCGCGCTCACTGTTGTCGAGGGTGATGAGGAAGATCCTCTGGATCATGTGGTTGATGTTGAGCTGCTCGCACAGCTCCCGCTGCGAGCGGAACGAGCGGCTGATCTCGGCCACCGAGTAGTCGCAGTCGTCCAGGCTCTCGGAGACGCTGTTGTCGGAGTCATCCTGGCTGACCGAGGTCTCATCGCCTGCGAGCAGCGGGGCAAGGAAGGCGCTCAGCGCCCCGGTGGGGACAGCACCCCTCTGGCCGCCGGCCCCGCGCCCCGGACCTGTCAGCTGCCGCAGCTGCTGCTGCTGCTTATGGACGGCGGCGAAGTGCTTCGCGGCGGCGACGGAGCCGAAGAGGGCGGCGAAGGGGTTGCTGGAGATGCTGTTGTTGTTCTCCTGGTCGGTCATCTCCCGTCAGCGCCGCGCCATGCGGGGGGGCCGGGCTGCGGGGAGAGCCGCTGGCAGCGCGAGGGGGCCCCGGCAGCGAGGCCGGGACCCAAGGGCCGCAGCGGAGCCGCCGCGAGGCCGAGGCCGGGGCTGGAGCCGGGGCCGGGGCCGGGGCCGGGGCCGGGGCCGGGGCCGGGGCCGGAGCCGGGGCCGGAGCCGGAGCCGGAGCCGGGACCGGGGCTCCGGGGCTCCGGGGCTCCGAGCCCGCAGCGCTCACTCACCTCCGCCGCCGCCAGACAGCACTGCGCGTCACCGCGTCGCGCTACGACTGACGTCACCACGATGCGCCAGAAGAGGGGCGGTGCTATTGAGGAGCGGCTGGAGTGGCGCACGGAGGGTGGCGGCGGGAGGCACTGCCCCCTGGCGGCGTGGAGGGCCGATGACACGGAGCGGGGGGACCCGGACCCGCGGCTCCTCCGGTAACGGAGCGAGCTTGGGGCTGCGGGACGCGAGCCTCTGCGGAGGAACAGAGATCGCAGCGGCTATTGGTGCAGCCAGGGTCATTTGCATATTAATGATGTCTACTTAACGTGCAAATTAAGCCTTTAGACGCCATCAATATGCATAGCGGTCCTTTGGTTATCTGATCGCCTGTTTGCAGCGCATAAAGAGGGTAAAAAAGACACCATGGTCTTAGGTATAGGCTTTGCTGTTTGAAAGGATGTGGGCTTGAGATAGAGCCGCAATGTGTGTGCGTGCGTGTGCGCGTGCGTGTGTGTGTGTGTGTGCGTGCGTGTGTGTGTGCGCGTGCATGTGTGTGTGCATGAGTGTGTGCGTGCGTGTGTGCGTGCCTGTGTGTCTTTGTGTGTGTGTGTCTGCGTGTGTGTGCATGTGTCTGCGTGTGTGTGCGCGTGTGTGTGCGTGCGTGTGTGCGTGTGTGTGCGTGTGTGCGTGTGTGCGCACGTATGTGTCTGTGTGTGTGCATGCGTGTGTGTGCGTGCGTGTGTGTGCACGTATGTGTGCACGCGTGTGTGTCTGTGTGTGCGTGTGTGTGCATGCGTGTGCGTGCGTGTGTGCGTGTGTGTGCACGTATGTGTGCGCGTGTGCGCGTGTATGTGTCTGTGCGCGCGTGTGTATGTGTACGTGTGGGCACGTGGGTGTGTGCGTGTATGCGCGCATGTGTGTGCACATGTGTGTGTGTGCACATATGTGTGAGCGTGTGTGTGCGTGTGTGTGTCTGTGTGTGCGTGTGTGCACGTGTGTGTGCGCGTGTGTGCGCGTGTGCGTGTATGCATGTGTGTGCACGCATGTGTGTGTGTGTGCGTGTGCATGTGTGTGCGCATGGGTGTGCGTGTGTGTGTCCGTGCAGCAGCTTCACTGCACTGATTCAGCACAGACTGGGTTGGGTTGAAGGGACCTTAAAGCTCATCCAGTTCCAACCCCTGCCACGGGCAGTGACCCCTTCCACTGGAGCAGCTTGCTCCAAGCCCCTGTGTCCAACCTGGCCTTGAGCACTGCCAGGGATGGGGCAGCCACAGCTTCTCTGGGCACCCTGTGCCAGCGCCTCAGCACCCTCACAGGGAAGAGCTTCTGCCTAAGAGCTCATCTCAGTCTCCCCTCTGGCAGGTTAAAGCCATTCCCCTTGGCCTATCCCTACCCAAAGCCCCTCTCCAGGTTTCCTGTAGCCCCTTTGGGCACTGGAGCTGCTCTGAGGTTGCTGCCCCCAAAGCTGGATGCAGGACTGGGGTGTGTGTGTGGGGGTGTGTGTATGGAGGCTCCCTCAGCAGAGCAGAGCTCCAGCCTGTGTCTGTGGTGGGGATTGCCCTGAACCAGGCACAGGACCCTCCAGGTGCAGGACCCCATGAGGGTTGCACAGGCCCACCCCATTAACTGATGAACTCCATTGATTTCAGCCCATCGGGCTGTGCCCCAGCCTCGCCCCCCCCCCCCAGCTGTGACAGTTCCATGATGGGGATGAGGGCCTGGAGGGTACCGTGGGAGGGGGGTGCTGTGGGGCAATGTCCGGGTCCATGGGGCAATGATGGGGTTCTGGAGCCCCGTGTGGGGTCTCATCCTGTGCATGGTCACACACTGCGGGTGTGACCAGCCCCACCAACACAGCACACACCCAGAGCTCATTTATTGGTGGGTAGGGTTTAATGTGGAGATGTCCATCACCTGTCCATCACCTGTCCATCACTGGTCCATCACCCATTCATCACCAGTCCATCACCCCTCCATCACCCGCTGTCCTGCTTTGTGCCCCAGGGGCGAGGGTGGGCTATGGATGGCACTGTCGGTGCTGGGCACCCACCGGGCATGGCTCAGGCACTGCCCCCCTTCTCCAGCAGCTCGTCCTGGCTCCCGGGGATGCTCAGCCCTGGCAGAGCACCCTCCGCGGGCCCCGGCAGGGCGCAGGGCTGCAGGAGGTGGTCCCAGTAGAGGCTGAGTGTGGAGTGCTCCTGCTGCTCCAGCTCCTTCAGCTCGTGCAGCTCCTTGGCGCTGGCCGCCGGTGTCTGCACCTCAAAGGTCATCTCGAAGCGGCTGTAGTCCACCCGGAAGGCACCTTTCTCCAGGGACATGCAGGGCTCGAAGCGGTACCCCCAGAGGATCTCATCCTCCGTGTACGAGGTGCGGGCTTGGCACGTCATCCCTAGGGTGAGGCAACACCTCAGTGCCAGGGTGCCCCAACGAGCCGCCCACTGCCCCATGAGGGGTCTCCAGCCCTGGGTCACCCACTGCCAGGGGGATGCCAACCCCAAGCCCAGGTTTCCTCCCTGACCCCACAGACCCACCTGTGGCTTCCACGATGCCCTCGAGGATGATGATAATCTCAAACTGCTCGCGGCGCAGCGACTCGGCCGACATGTCCCAGAAGGGGCTGCGGTGGTTGATGACGTGGCAGATGATCTGCGGCTCCACCAAGAACAGGCGGTCCTCACCCGTGTCATAGCCCAGGTTCAGCTCCGACTGCTCCAGGGGGATGAACTCTCCCTCAGACGTCTGCCGGGACTTGATGAGCTTGGCCCGGATCTTGGCGTCCACCATGTGGCTGTCCCGCAGGTCCCCGACACGGAACATGAGGCAGAGCTGCTCGTCCCGCCGGGAGATGACGCAGTTCTTGCTGAAGATGAGGGTCTGGGCGCGCTTCTTGGGCCGGGAGATCTTGACGAACATGCAGCCCACCATGAGGGCGTCGATCATGGAGCCCACGATGGACTGTGCCATCAGCAGGATGACGCCCTCAGCGCAGTTGGCAGTCACCATCCGGGAGCCATAGCCGATGGTGCGCTGGCTTTCCACCGAGAAGAGCAAGGCGGACACGAAGCCGTCGATGTTCTCAATGCACGCTGGCCACTCGGGATCGCCCCGGTGCCCGACGTCACCCCGCACCCAGGCGTCAAGGAAGTAGATGGTGCCAAACGCCACCCAGGTGACGATGTAGCACATCATGAAGACGAAGAGGAACCAGCGGTACTTGAGGTCCACGATGGTGGTGAAGATGTCCGAGAGGAACCGCTTCTTCTCCTGGATATTTCCCAGGTTCACCTGGCACTTGCCCACCTTCGTCACATAGCGCTGCCGCTGCCGCTTCCCAGCCTGGAGCACGGGGCCATCCTCCTCCAGCAGCCTGCGGCGCCGGCCCGGCAGCCCCTCGGCGGTGGGCACGGTGGTGGCGGCACCGCTGCGGGCTGGGGTCCTGCCGCGCACCGAGCTGGGGATGTTGGCCACGCTCAGGGCGTGCAGCGGGCACCAGTGGGCACCGCTCTCCTGCGCGGCGGCTGGTGGGCAGCAGGGCAGGTCACCGGGATGATGTGGGGCGGCCACGCTGCCGTGGCTCCGCAGAAGGAACGGCTCACTGGGGGTGATGCTGCTGTGGCGGGGTGGGGATGGGTAGTTTGGCATCAGGACGCTTCTCTTGGCAGTGGCGGCCGCTTGCGGGCAGCTGTCCTCTGGTAGAGCACTGGGGGCAGCCGGGGGATCAGGCTGCAAGGGGGGAAAGGAGCCCATTGGTGAGCAATGACCTCGGGCAGCACTGCGGTGGCATCCTGCCCGGAGGATGCCCCAGAGCCCCAGTGCAATCCGATCCATACCTTCTGGGGGAAGGTGCCATAGCGGCTGGTGTCGGTGGGTGGCCGCGGCAGGTAGGCCAGCATGTGCTTGGCTGTGGGGGTCTGTGCCGCGGGGATGGAGTTGCTGCGGCCGCGGGGCTCCTCGAGTGCTGGCCGGCCGCTGCCAATGCTGTTGTGGGTGCAGGGGAACACCATGGTGGGGCTGGGGCCGGGGCTCAGCCCCGGGCTGGGCACAGGGTCCTGCTATGGAGCACAGAAAGCAGAGGGTTATTGTGGACATGGAAGGTGCCTCTCCAAGGGGCAGGGTCTGCTGTGGCTGCCCTTGCCCGGCAGCGTATGTGCCAGCCATGGAGCAGTGCCGGGGTGGCCACGGGCTGGCAGCAGGTGGCTAAGCCCATTAGGGGCTGTAATTGCATTGCAGAGGCCGACAAGGAGGCGCCCGCCTCCGCGGGGAGCAGCCCCGGCAGTGGGCAAGGTCCGGGAGAGCACCCACAGCCAAGCTCCATGGGTGCCCCGCACCCTGCCTGTACTTGCCAGCTCTCTGATGAGCTGCAAGCAGGGGCAGGAGGAAGGGCAGCCCATGGTGGAGACACAGACCCCACTGCTGCGCTCCCCAGGACAGGCTGAGTCCAGCCGGGTCCCCACGGGGGTTGCGATGGGAGGTCACGTTCCTGGCACACAACCTGGAGAGCAGCGAGCCGCAGGGATGAGCCGCACGGACACGCTGCCTCCTCCCAGCATCCCCTCGCCTCTGCCGAGCAGCAGGCCCAGTGTCCTCATCGCGGCGATGGAGGACGTCAGCCTCCGGATGCACCTCCTGCCCCCAGCCCTGCGCAGACCCCTGGGTGAGGGGCACCCACCTCGTGTCCATGCGGGGTGGCCGCCGCGCCGGCAGACCCTGATCTCGGGTGGTGGCTCCCGCTCTGCCCTGGCAGCCACCGGGCATCTTCCCACCGGTTGAGGATGGGAATCCTCTGCCGTGGCCAGTGGGAGGGAAGCACTGGGAGCTCGGCGGCGGCTGCCAATCCCGCTCCAGCAGCAGAAGGTGGCCCGTTAATCTGTCTCAACGACAGGCACAATTACCTTGAGACGATTTAATCAGAAGGAGCAGGCGCCCCAAAGCCAGGCGGATGGAGCAGGAGGGGTTTCCCAGTGGATTTCCCTGCTCTCAGGATGATGCTTCCCTTCCGCTCTTGGGGATGGGATGGTCAGCAAGGGCTGGAAAACATCCCCCCTCTCCTGAGTGGTCCATGCTTCCCCACCCCCTCCTTTTGGGAGCCCCTTGAGAAGTCCCGCCCCGGTGCTCACTGGGGCTGGACCCTGGCACCAGCAGGACTTGGTAATTTCCAGGATGGGCCTCAGTATCCCGTTGATAAGAAAGACGGCAGATGATGGAGGATTAGTCACTAATCTCCCGGAGAAGATGAATCTGCCGCGGGACCCCAGGGACGGACATGGAGGGGGCGGGTGGGAGCTGAAGTTGGGATTTTCCTGGCGGTGCTGCCCATCCTTTCCCCATCCACGTTTCGGGCACCTTCTCCCAGGGCAGCACTCCCCCACATCTGGCACCAGGTGCCATGTCCCTGGTGGGGGTCAGGGTGCAGGACTGGGCCGTCGGTGCCCATCTGCGAGCAGCGGGCAAAGCCTCCCCCTCCCTGCGTCCTCAGCGCAGCTCTCGGAGGCTCCTTTTCGGATTAATTTAACGAGCGAGTGAGGGTCGATGCCTCTGACAGGAGCCTGGCGCCGGCTCTCTGCTGCCCGCATCCCACCTCGGGGCCCCTCCCGGAGCTGCGCTGCCCCGAGGCTCCGTCCCTGCCAAGGCTCCGGGTGGCCGCGGGTTTGCGCGCCTTGGCTCAACCCTCCCGGCCCGGCGCGGCACCACGGCGGGACGAGCCCGGCTTCGCCTGCGGAGCGCGGGGAAGCCGAGGGCGGCTGGAAGATGACGGTGGCCACACCCCGGCGGCGGAGGAACAGGCTTGAATCGGCCGCCCCGGGCTGCAGACGCGGCCGGCGCTGCTCCACAAGCGTTAATGCCCAGGGCCGCCGCTCAGGGCGGCTTCACCCGGCCCGGCGCGCACTCAGCGGCCGGCGGGAGCATGGCCGGGAGCTGGCGGGCGAAGGCGCAGGCGGGGGGGATGCTGCTGGCGCTGCTCGGGTGGGTCTCCTCCTGTGTCACCACCTTCGTGCCGCTCTGGAAGAGCCTCAACCTGGACCTGAACGAGCTGGAGGTGTGGACCATGGGGCTCTGGCAGGTCTGCATCGCCCGCGAGGAGGGGGTGGTCGAGTGCCGGGCCCACGGCTCCTTCCTGGCGCTGTCCCCAGAGCTGCGCGTCTCCCGCCTCCTGATGTGCCTCTCCAACGGGCTGGGGCTGCTGGGGGCCCTCCTGGCCGCGCCGGGGCTGGAGGGATGGACCCCCTGCGAGGACAAGCCCCGGCTAAAGCGGCGGCTCCTGCTCGCCGGCGGAGCGACGTTCGGCACGGCCGGGATGGCCACGCTGGCTCCGGTGTCCTGGGTCGCCTACAACACCGTCCTCGACTTCTGGGACAGCACCGTCCCCGACATCGTGCCCCGCTGGGAGTTCGGGGAGGCCACGTTCCTGGGCTGGTTCGCCGGAGCCTTCCTCGCTGCCGGCGGGCTCCTCCTCGCCTGCAGCGCCCGCACCACGAGGGCCTCGACGCCGCCGGTCCCCGCCTGCCACCAGCAGCCCCCCGCCGCGGGCCATCACCCCCTCCCCAAGCCCGCAGACCTGGTCATTTAGGGGCTCCGGCTGGCTCTGGAGGTGATCTACTGACTGCTGTGGCCGGGCTTTCCCTCCCTCTGCGCACCTGCTTTGCGTTTCCTTTCCAAAGGAGCAAGGGCATCGAGCAGGCAGCAAGGCAGGGGCAGAGCAGCAGCAGTGACACCGGAGCAGAGCCACTTGTGGCTGAGGCAGCAGTAGCACCCCTTGCTAGACCCCCGTTGCCAAGTCCGTTGTGGTCAATTGCTACGCTCCGGAGTAGCATCTCACTCCGTGCGTGTCTGTATCACTGTGATGTACCCACAATAAATTATCACAGTTGCCAGCAGCGTGTTTCTGTGCTCTGAGCATAGGGCTGCATCTTGCATGAGGCACAGCACGAGTGTGGATGGAGGATGGGAGCTGCAAGGGGCAGTGCTGTTTGGTCTGTCCAGAAAAGACTTGGGGGTGGGCGTTGAAGAGGGAAAGGTGGAAAACAAGGGGAGAGGGAAAACAAGAGATGAGGTGGTACCAGAGACGGCTCCTGCTGCAGAGCAGGACACCAGTGGCTGCATCCCCTGCAGTAGCCTCGTCTTCTCAGGGCTAAGACATAAAGCTCTCAGTGTGCCACAGACCCTCTGTAGGAAGCTCCTCAGCTGCATCCATTACCTGTGCAAAGAGCTGAGAGGGTGTTTGGTGGGTCCCCTAAACTGTTTCTTCCACCTTTTCCTGATCCAGCTGTAAAACTAAAGCCTGCTCGCACGCCCCTGGGCGACCAGCAGCATGGACCATCAGCCTGGACTAACACCCGGCATCCCGACAGCGGCCAGCCCCCTGCTACAGCACTGGTTAAAACCCGAGTTCACTGCTGGCTTAATCCCTGCAGCTCAGCTCCGCAGGCGCGTGACTGCTCCAAAGGAAGCCCCCGACTGACACCGGCATTCCTGTGGGAAGCAAAGTCCTCTCTCCTACACCAGGTCCCTTTCGAAACCCGCACTTTGTTCAGAGAGGAGAGAAAGGAGCCAGAGGAGAGGGATCATCCCCTGGTGATACTCATGCTGCCTGGGCCTGGGGCTGGCCGGCAAGCCAAGGGTGGGAGAGGCGGGTGCCTGAGGAAGAGCAAGGGATCAAGGGAGGAAGAACAAGAGATGGGAGCGTGCTGTGCAAAGACCTGCACACCCCATGGCTCCAGCTCAACCCAAGCGTCGTGACTTGCCAGGCACTGACCTGTGCTCCTGGGAAGCCTTTGCTGCTTTGTGTTTTAAAGCAGGCTTCGGGTACGTGAACATTTCACTTCCTGCAGCACCACAGAGAACGGGGCAAAGCCATTATCTTGGGAGGGTCGGAAGAACCAGATTCTCTCCCCAGACCACATCCTACCGCCTGTGTATTGCAATGACACACGGCGTTGCAAACGCTGTCTAGAAATGACAAGGCTGCTGGCTGGGAGGGACAAGCAAGGCATCACATTCTCACCTGCTGCAGCCAAAGCCCCTGAGAAGCAGGTTGGAGGTCTCCTCCCTCTGCTCTCCATCACCGCAAATGGGGATAAAGCAGAGAAAGCAGCAGCAGCTCTGCAGCATCCCAGGGCCCAACACAGGCCTGGCTGTCGGGGCCCCAACAATCCCTGCAGGTAATGGCACTTCTGCCTCATGTAAAACCACCAGGAGGATGCAGGATTATCCCCCGGGAGCCATTTACTCCTGAACAACAGGGAGCAGCACACCAGCAGCAGGGTGGGACCACGTTGACAATCCCTTCCGAGAGCTGTGCTCATTACAATGAGTTTGGTGCTAGGAATGAGTCCTGGGGACATGTGTCCAATGTGCTGGGATAAAAACTCACCCCTGCGTGTGTCTCTCTGGGTCTCCCTCCCCCTCCCGTGCTGCTGTCAAGAAATTCATGCTTGGTCAGAGCAGAGCCAGCAGCAGCAGGTAGAAGGGTGTCATTACAACACAGGGGCATGGTGTCAGCTCAATAGGTAATTAATTAAATGTTTCAGTTCCCATTAATGAAGAAAACGCAGGTTTTGGCTTCAGGAAGGGAGCTACTGTCCCTCCTCTTTACTCATTTAAGTGCAGGCTCCTTCTTCCAAAAGCCCCTGGGCTCCTGCAGTGGAGCTTGCAGTGGGAAAGGGCTCAGAGAGATTCAGGGCTCGGGAGAGATTCTGGCACTGACAGTGAACACAGGCACTTCCTCAGGACCCACTCCTCTGCACGCCTGCTCAGAGGTGCCAAACACAGATGGGCTTTGGCTAAAGCACAGGAAACGCCTGGCCCGGTGGCCTCCCGGGGACCCAAGATGAGCCCGTGCCCTGCAACACCAGAGTGGAGTGAAACCACAAAGGAAGTGTTTTCATTCTAACATAGAACAAATGCTTTTATTGCACTTTCAGAACAACTGTGCATAGTCTGAACAAACAGGGTCCCAACAACCGCCACCGCCCAACGTGAACACAGGTGCCCACTGAGGGAAACGCAAATGGGGCATTTATTTTACAGAACATCAACACGAAAAGCCCACCACCACGAAAAAGGAGCCCACTGCAGCCCTCAGTGGCTGTTAATGCTCACCTGACAGTGAGCCCCCTGAGGGAAGAAGGACGTTTGAGAGGGGGATGTCCTTTGGATCTCCCTTAGCCAGGCAGAAGAGAACCTCCTTCCTCTCACTGCTTTCTCAGTGAAGAGGAAGACTCCTGTGTATCTGCTCCTGCCAGGCAAAACACAAAAGCCCCAAACCTGCTTTGCTTGACCAGAATACTCAGCTGCCCATAGGACAGAGCGGGAGCCACCCTCCATCCCTGCTTCCTGATGACACAGCCCCGACTCCTGCTAGCAGGAGCTTGGCAGGACCATCCCTCAGGATGATGTGAAGGTGGCTGACAGGCCAACAGCAGCTCGTGGCCGCTCACCAGAGGAGAAGACCCTTGCTCTGCGGCTGTCACAGGCCTCAGGATCCGTGCCCAGGAAGCTGTGGAAGCAGAACCCCGCTTTATGTGGTGAGGTTTTGTCTCTGAAGTGCAATCCTGCCTGTGTCACTGCCACCTACGTACGAGCAGCAGAGCTCTGAGCGCGAGCCGCCCCTTCCCTCCCCGCTCCCTCTCAAGCGCTGCCGGCGGACGACGAGTGGCGCGCAGCCACGGGCTACTGCACCGCGACGGCCGAGGCGCCGTGGATGGACTCCATGACGGCTGCAAAGCGGCTGCAGAGGTCGTAGGGGGAGTTGGGGCGGATCTTCGGCGGCTCCTTCAGGACGACGACCTCGCTGGGGCAGTCGAGGAGCCGGGGCAGGACCTCACCCAGCCTCATCTGCAGCTTCGCTGTCGAGGGGAGAGGAGGAGGCACTCAGTGGCACCACAAGACCCCAGACGGCTCTGGGGCTGTGGGCTATAAAGCCATGATGGGTGTTACAGAATCAGCTTCTGGCTCCCGAGGGCAGGGGTGAGCGGTGTCAGTCCCCAGCCTTGCCCAGGGCGCACAGAGCAGGGGCACCCCGGGTTCTCTGGGGCGCAGCATCGGCTTTCCCAGTAAAGCCAGCTCTAAACCACCACACAAAGACCCCTGGATCTGCTCCCCCACCCAGGATTCTGCAGCTCTGGCTGTGCTCCTGGCCCCTGCTAAATTCCCTTGCTCTCTCCTGAAGAGGAGTTCAGGCCTAGACACTGCCCTGCCCATAGAGCCACAGCAAAGGCAAGGCCAGCACCATGCCCTACCGTCCATGTCTTCGCAACCCAAATAGGAGCACCAACGGTTTCTCATGACCTCGATGGCATCCATGTCCTCCCTGGAGATCTCAAAGTTGTTCATGAGGTGCATGCAGGGGATGATCAGCTCGTTCAGGATGCTAATGCCCTCTGTCACACGAGCTTCTTCACAGCTTACGAACATAGATGCTGCCACTTCATTCAGCTTCTAGGGGAGGAGGGAGAATCAGGGGACAGAGCTGTGACAAGCAAGCACAAAGCACACGTCACCAGCATGCTGTCAGGAAGGGTCACAGCTCGGGGACCACGCAGAGACTGACAGAACCAGTGCCAGGTTCACACCACAGAAAGCAAACTGGGGTCTTGGCAACCACGAGCGTGAACTAAAAGCAGTCCTCATTTTGATGCTCTTGTTTAGCCCCCCGAGGAACAGGAAATCATCATCTGCTCAGAGAGAGCAGGCTGTCAGAAATAAATACTAGGGGAGAGGGATGGGAATGGACAGAAACCAACGTGACCACTAAGTTAACACAAGCACCGAGTTAACAGCCAAGAGCACGCTCAGCAGCACCCGAACCTTCCCCAAACACGTGGTGTGTTCATTATGTGTGTTCCTAAAAGGGAACACCCCGAAAAGGGGTCCCACTCCCTGGGCAATGCCCAAGAGCAGCCGGGAAGCAAACTGTAGCACGGGCTGCTCCCTCCCTGCCTCTCCAGGAAGGAGCATACTGACCAGGAGACAATTCCTTCTGTACAAGGCAATCAGGGATTCGCTCACTCCTCTCTTGGTGCCCTTCTGCAGCAGCTTGGTGTTGCTCTGGTAGGCGTACACCAGGTAGGTGAGTGACTCCTGGTACCTAGGAGGGGAGAGTGTCACCTCAGGAAACACCTTCCTCTTGGCCTGGATGGTAACTACCACCAGGCCCAACAGGAAGAGCTCCATTTCACTGCCAAAGACTAAACGGACAGATGCCCTCCACCCAGGAATTAATGTTCCTTTTTTCCCCAGGGTGCCAATGAGCGCCTCAGGAACATCCCCTTAAAGCCAAGTTGGAGTACGATGTGCCCCGAGCACGGCCGCCAGCGCTGACGCTTTCAGGACTGCTCCAGGACATTTGCCCTCTGCGTGCAGCAGCAGCAGCAGCATGCTCGGTTCCTGCGCACATTTGTAGCCTCTACCCCCCCGGTGAGAAAACAGCACAGCTGACAGGGATCGGGTCAGGTCAGGGAAGCTCTCAGCCCGCCTCTTGGCAACCTGCCCACCTGAATTTGGTATCTCCTCACTTCTAACCCCCTCAGGACTTGATTCTGCCTCCATCCACAAAGAACTTCTGAAAGCCAGTTTATTTTCTGCATTGGAAAAAAACATTTCCCAACTACAAATCCTTCACAAACTGGCACTGTCCTGCCCCACACTGCATTGTGTTCATGTAAAATACAGGTTCTGAAACAGTGAGGAGGAAACCAACGCCTTTTAAAGGTTCTTAAGTGCCTAGAGTACTCCAAAGCATGTGTTTACACAAAGTAAAATGCCCAATTCAAGTTTAGTTTTAATACAGGAGTCCAAAGGGGGCACTTGTTCCTGCAAACCCACCTCCGGGAATTCTTCACAGTGGATAAATTCAGGGAAGCTCTAAGAACCT